AAAGTTTCACCAAAATTAAACTTAGTGGACATTATACAATGATTGATAAGGTCAGTTTGAAGAAGAAGACAATTTTAAGAGAAATTCCACAAATATTTCAAAGAATATACTTGGAACAAGTACAAAATCAAACTTGGCTGAGATCCCACACTGGTATATACAATATCCTAGTTAGAAAGACATTTATTTGGTTTATAATTATTTGAGTAAATATTGTAACCCCCAAAAAAAGATTTAACAGGGCAGGCATTTCCCCCTCATATAACTTTCCTTATAAGAAAATGATCTGATAAGAATTGGTTGAGATATTGAAACCACAGGAAATGATAAGGCTACGAAGCCGACAAAAAAAATGGCAAGGATGGGGACAGACATTTTCTCCTTATATACCTCTGCCTTCACCTAATGATACGGGCAAGATAATAAAATAGGAATTAAGCAGAGCTATAGCGTAATTTAACTCTCTCACTATAAATGACCATTAATTGAAATTCTGACTCCAGACTGTCTAGTACACAAAGTAATCGCCCTTCCAAGACAGTAAAAGTCAAATCAAAACCTAGGAATTGTTAGCTTAATTGGTAACCTTTACATAGTCTAGTCGCTTGAAACAGGATCTAGAAATGTTGCAGTTTAGATGAGAAAATAATAATCCTAGGCGTGTTATTTTTTGGATAGAAAAATAGAGGGCTGCAAAGTACAATATGGGTCATCAAAAGAAAATGGCACAAAACTATGGTGCTGAAATATTGATTTTAAAATTCACTCACTGTAACAACAATCTGATGAAGGCTAATTCATACATGCAGAGACTGGATTTAGTTAAAATATGTTATTAATCTTGCTATTAATATTAAGCATAATGATACTGCATAATTATATCCACAGTACGACAAAGTGTCGCGACAGATTCACATTATATTGACAGCCTAATTATTAAAGACTGCAGGCCCCTGCTGCTCATAAATTTGTTTTTTAATTCTCGCAAGATACTTAGATTTGTATAATTACACATGTCTAGCTGGAAAAACTGGTTTATTCATCAGACATAGATCCTATGAATTTTAACCTGTTGATATTTGAAGCGCCCTCAATTGGCAGGATCTGTTACTTCTGAGTACCAGCTGAATGAATATTCAGTAACCCCTTATCACCTGAGGTCGTGATGTGATGTAAGAATTTTGTAGGAATTGTCATACCAATAAGATTAGTGACAGCTAAGTCACAGGGTTCAATAGTTTATGACATTTCTCATCGAACACAACAGTAGATTTGCATAATTAGCTACGTCAAAGTTAGACAAACTGGGTGAAGACTAACGTATGAAAATAAAACATGCAGGTATAAGACACACAGCCCAGTAAGTATGTGATAACCATGTAGTAACCTTTATCACTAAGGTTACACCCATTACCAGGCGCCTGCAAAATCTTGCATGTACCCCCCCCCCCTTCCCCGGCAGGCGTTGAACCACACTGATGGAAATGCCTCGCTACTGCAATGAGAAATTAGAGAAATTAGAGACATGATTAAACAAAATAATTAATAAATTGAGTAAAGCAATTAATTAATGCTCTATCTGCAATATAATACAACTTGCACATATCAATCAATGAACAGAGAAATTTGTCAGCATATTAAAAAGTTTTGTCACCTTGAAAAGTCTTTTTACAATCATGAACAGACTCAAAGAGCAGGCTTGTCAGACGAGCTTGTTTTTGAACTTGGCAGCTCTATTATAAATTTCCAAGCTCTGAACCCAGCAGTCTGCCTTAGTTTCAAACACTGGAATACAGTACATAAACCAAATCATGGCATGGCATGTGAGGAGAGTTCGCAATTCTTAAGATCCTTGAGATATTAGGAAATGAACATGTTGCGTAATTTTGAATAGCCTGCTACCAGCACTTGATCAATGGCCACAACATCGCCAATGAGTTACCTATAGAGCCCTCTGTTCATGAATTAGTGTAAGGAAACCTATAATAGTTACTAGTCACCATAGTGTGCATGTGGAATGAACATTTGATTTTAGTTGTCCCTGATCCAAGGCTTCCATCAGCAATAACAAAGTGCATGATCATCAACACTACCACTAACATCACCACCACCACCACCACCACTCCAGTTTGATCATTTTACCTCTAGTTTTTATAACTCTACTAGTGGTGATAGGGCCACAAAATGACTGTATTATACTGGAATTCAGTCAACCTTTTGGCTGGAAGAAGGCTTACTTGCAGCTCCCTGCATCTTCAGCCTGAGGCCAAGGCAGCCAATATCTTAGATGCCAAAGCTGACAATCTATATGGTGTTTTAATGTTTGGCACCTTAGCACATTAATTACCTTGATTAGTTTGTCATCAGCTAGTGGGGGTTGACTATCTGTATTTCTCAACCCACAAGGCAGACTCCTTGAATAAATGTGCATGATCGGCATTTCTCGATTTTGAATGCATTGTGTAGCAGCAGCAGTATTGAGCAGAGGAAGCAATAAAAGTTTCAACTTTTTATTGCATGAATTGAAGGCAGATGACAGAGTGAAATGTATTGCACTGAGACTCAAGTCTGGATATACATGTATAAATAATATAACAGATTTAACTGCATCAACACCAATAGCCACCAATCTATCACTTGGAGTCGAGAGGGTAGATATCTAAAGACTGAAGTAGCATTGTTGTCTTCAACCTTGGAGATCCCTTGGTAGCATTGCTTTGATTGCAAGCTCAGGTGATATAGTGATGTGATATAGTGGTGATGTGATATGATGTGATATAGTTGTGATGTGATGTGATATAGTTGTAATGTGATGTGATGTGATATAGATGTGATATAGATGTGATATAGACGTGATATAGATGTGATGTGATGTGATGTGCTGTGCTGTGCTTTTCCAATGTGACCTTAACAATTTCAACACAAGGTCGCTGAGAAGCCAGGGTAACCAGGGAAACAGGTAGCATGGCATGTTGTTGCTGAGTATTGATTTGAGTGATTAATGATCTTGTCACATTATGCTGCAAGATAACCAAGGCTTCCATGCAATTTACAGTGGACGCTAAAATATACTGAACTCAAAAATAAACTCAATTCCCTTTGAAACACTGTTAACATTTCTTGGAATATTCTTAGTGGTATTTGTTTTTGCACTTTCAATTTCAACTAGCTGACACTACTGACACAACCATAATCATGAGGGGTGCTGAGTGGTAAAAATTACAATAAGGAAATCCTAAACACTGTATAGTTTTGTTTTGGTTTTTTACCCATGTAGTACACATGTTATGTTGCGAAAGACTATTTAAATATGGTTGTAGACATGGCTGAGTAACACAAAATGTTGTGAATGGTCTTGTTCATACAAAAATTACAACTGTGGAATAGCCCTGTTTATCTCCGAATCAGTTGCAGAGACTGCTCTGTGGATGATTAATTTTTTGGGTGAGGTTTCTCTGTAATGGGACAATCTTTCACTTCCACCACCACGTAATGTTGTCTGGTCGACAGAAACATAAATGAGTTTTACCAAGGTACTGAAGAATTACAGCCGTTGACAAGTTTTTTGTACATGTACATATCAATAGGGCATGCATTTAACTACTCTGCTTTAAACACAGTGAGTGAACAAAACCATTTTGAAATAGTAGATTTTGATTACGATTCAAAATGAAATAAGATTTTGACTAATATCACTAACATTATCATTGTCAAAAATAAAGGATGATGCAACTATAGCCAACCAAATTTTGGTTCAAAATTTGATTAATCAGTCTAGATAACCAGTAACACACAGCTTTCTATAACAATGCTTGTGAACACCAGTCAGCATATGATAAAACAGGTTCAGTGAAATAAAACAGGAGGCGCCTTATAGTCTGTCCTTATAGTTCCCTTATAACCAACCACGGGCTATAACGGAACTAAACAATTATTACAACACTTTTTACAAGTATTTTTGCAGCAATATAATCCAATGTTGATATCTGACATACATGCTTCAGTTCATGCATGAAAGATTCCATGGTAACAAAATTACCATGTAATAGGAAAAAAAATTGTTTATGAGGCTACATTACAACCGACTACAGCTTTATGGCTGGTGCATGACAATTAGCGTTGTGGAATTAAGGCAATTTTACTGTTCATAAAACCAACATTGTTACCTACTTGCAAAATTGTATATTTGTTCTCATGAACCAACAGACTCAATTTAAACTACAGCATCAAACACTATTCAATGTTGCTGATTGTATGTACCTTCCATCCAAAACCTTGCCCAATTGGCAAATTTTCAGCAGGGAGAAATCTTTTGGGTACAAAATTTATTTACTAGTATCAGAAAACATATAGTGCAAATCAGAGTTTCAGAAATGTGCCGTATTAATCATAAATCATAATCAGTATTCTAATTTTAATAAGAGTAATTTTTGGACATTTAAATACATTCTGGCATTCAATTTCACAGTCATATTCAGAAATATGATATGAAACTGTGACAAGTGTGAAAGGGTAAACTCTGTTTTACAATAAGCTGTTATCACCAGGATACGTGTTAAATACTTCCTCGATTATCAGTTTATCTCTCCAAAATCCCAATTTCCTGTTTCTTTAAAAAACATTGCGCCGTTTTTTTTCATTAAAATCAAAGGTAAAAGATCGTACTGCAATACTTATAAATCACTTCCATGTTGTGTTGCGTTGTGCCATCTGGCTGTATTTGGAAATTCCCAAGTACGTTCAGCTGGCACCACTAAGCAATCTGATTGGTTGATAAGGTCTATCAGGTCTATTTGTGCACGAGTGTTTGCATGCGGCCAAAAACATTAGCTAATAGGTTGAATTTAAAATGCATTTCATGATAAAAAAAAAATATTTTGTACATGTATGCTATTATAACCACAACTGAGTAATAATCAATGTTTTAACAACTCAAAGAGAAATTAGAAATATTTGAATATATGGAAATTATGTGCAAATGATATGGAAATTATACTCACCAATGAGACCCCCCAGCAGACTCGCGTGATTCATTATCATTGACAGCCAAGAAAATCAATTTCTTACTTTCTAGATTCAATGGCTCCAAAAATATTCCAATATCTGAAACTAAAAACAAACAAGTCAATGACAAAGCCCATGTTTTTGGGGTCAAAAAGGTTCACTTTTACCCTTTGACCGATTTTCATAAAATTCACTACAGAGGTATATCGTTAAATTGTACAGATGCACGTCAATTCGTTTTTTGATCTGTGCATGTTATTAAGTATGTTTTGGGGTTGAAAAGTGTCATTTCCGCCTTTTCTAAACCAAAAAAGACATTTTGTTTCCCAATGATTTTTCTCTAAATATACTACATTGTATCTCCCACAGATTAATTTTCAATCTCCTCAACTGAATAGTTATAAAATTAATATAAAGAAAAATTGTTTAATAGTATATAATGGAGTTGACAAGAGTTGTGTGTGAAAACTTTAAGTTAGTTTAAATAGTTTTTAATAGAGTTAATCTGGGTCCTACTACAGTACAAGGATTGCTGCCGCTGCCCCGCGCGTTAGGTATTCCCCCTGTTCGCCTCCGCGCGTGCCCGGACACTCCCTCGTGTGTCCGGGCGTTAAATAGTAGGACCGGTTAAGGGTGATTTATTAGCAGAATCAAAATTTTTGTTAAATAATGCCATTTTTTGGTATTTATTGCTTGATGTTTTTCTTATTGAACTTGGAATTCCAGTGACTGCGACAATCACTGATAAGTTTTCAAATCTTGTCATAATTTTGCAATAGACATATTGCAAAGCCCATCACAAAGTGTTTGGTAAGGTAAAAAAAAAACATCAGATGGTTTAGGACAGATTTTCTGATTGTTCCACAAAGAAGAACCTACCGGGTATATGCCACCTTTGACCTAAATCCTAAAACTAACCAGAACCATCACAAACCACTAGTAAACAATGCTCTCACTGAATTATTAAATTAAAATATAAAAGCATTTTAGTAAAATTCATAATTAAGAAAGGAAAGCAAGAAATAGCAAACATTTTCCATATAATTTATCTTCAGACTTTGGGATGTTGTAAATTTTGAAAAAAAAATCTAAATTTACAAATAACAAAACACGAACATACGGTAAGCTAAGACTTAAAGTCAATTTCAGATGCAGAAAAAAATTCACAATGTTTGAACATCACTTGGATGACAGCCTTGGTGATATACGAGTGTTAAGCTTGGTAACTTTACTGGACAGTGTAATTGATTATAAACAAACCCAAATACAAAAAAATTAGGTCAATAATTAAACCTGCGGCATCCACCAATTTAAAGAAAATTTTGATATTTTTTCATTGAAAAATAATTTTGAAATTTCCATCAGAAATTTAATGTAGCAGATTAGGGAAATTGCAAATCCTAACCCTAGCTTAAAATCATCATGAATTTGTATCATCTAAACTTGCTGAATAACAAGTTATATATTATTTTATTATCAAATGTTATCACCTGATTTTCCAAATCATTTGCTAATTATCATTTGAACTTTGAGAACAAACTTCTTTCATTAATTAAAAATTGGAATTCAACCAATGATAAATGTTCAAAATAGAATGTAAAGTTAAAGTTCGTGTTCTTGTAATATTTGATGTTGACACTTGTGAAACTGGTGACTGGGGTTCAAAGTGGTTCAAGGTTTCATTGCTAAAACTAAATTGAAGTAAAGTAAAGTAGAAGATAATCAATTAACATAATGGAAGTTACACTCACTTTGTTCAATTAGAAAGACCATTTTAAGGTCAAAGACATTAGGTGAAATGGATGAATTTGTCAAACTGAGTTCATCACATTGAAGGAATACATATTTTATACTGTAAACTAGAATATTGGAAATCACATGAAGCAAAAAAATATGTCAGACTCAATGTAAACTGTTCTATAATTTTACGCTAAAAATCACTGTGACTCTTCCAGTGAAAAGTTCACTGCTACAAAATATCCCACCCTGAAATTAATGAAAATATGTTGACAATTTTTTAATGGCAAACAGCTGGTGGAGAAATAAGTTAATGAATTAAGAAGTCAAGAAAAATTAGTTCTAGACAGGGAGTCACCATGTCTTTTAAATTAAGTCGCCACAAACGAGTTCAAACTTTCAAATGTTAGGAATTATTAGTATGCCAGAGAAATGGACATAGATAAATTTTTACTGCTCTTTCCAATCTTAGAGTTGGTACAATGTACATCATGAATTAGTGGTAGCTAAATTAGCTAATCTTGAATTTGCAAAAATATAGGGTAGCTAAATGTAAATTAGCAACATCTTGAATTTAGCAAAATTACAGGAGAGCTAATTTTTTAGAAATAGCCAAAATACCAGGTAGTTAAATTAGCAACATCTTGAATTAGAAAAAATACAGGGTAGCTAAATTAGCAACATCTTGAATTGACAAAAATACAGGGTAGCTAAAAATTAGCAACATCTTGAATAAGCAAAATTACAGGGGAGCTAATTTTTTAGAAATAGCAAAAATACAGGGTAGCTAAATTAGCAACATCTTGAGATAGCAAAAATACAGGGTAGCTAAATTATCTACATTTTGAATTGGTAAAAATTGTTAGACAGAATGGAGAATATTTATAAAACATTTGAGCACAGTCCCTCTATCCCCGGTCTGGAAACGACTAGCATTCTTTTGTCTCAAACCACGTTGCGGGTAAACAAACAGTTCACACCCAGGCCGAGGGATTCAGGAAGTCTGACATTCAGAATATTCATTAAAATCAGCAAATTTGCCGTCATGCAAAGCAATACCTCATTGTATGACTTCACTTTGACGTCAATTTCGGGCAACTACAACGTAAACAAAACCTGTAAACAAAATTAGTACTATAAAAAACCAGCGTACCAACTTCATAAACATTCAGTTTCTGCCATGTAAAGATTAATATCAGGTATGATGTTCATCTTCTAGTTTTTATAGGGAAAAAACTTCGCGTACTAACATACTAACATCGCTAAACAAATCTTGTCAAAATGTTCATGTTAGCGTGGTCGATCGAAAAACCTGTGATATTTCTGATTCTTGGGGTTCCTAACAATTCAAGTCAACTATACAACAACTATTGATTTTATTCGATGCAAAAGTATAAAACAATGCTTCAATATTTGTATATAAATTATTTTTTAGCACTGAATAGCGTACCTTGTCATTTCAAAAATGTTGCATTTACATTTATGATCAAAAATGCGATTTAACATTAATAAAATGCGGTGTGCAAAATAACAAATCAGTCCACCAATTTTTAATGATATGTTTCGACCATAAAATATCAAAATCAAAGACAAATAATTGTTTCGCTTCGAGAAGTACCTGGTAAATAAAATGGAGTTCATTTCAATCACCCTAAAATCAAACACAAAGAATTTCTGGGTAAAGGTATGAAATTGTGTTGCGAAAATGTGTCACTGCTGGTAAAATAGATGAATTAATGAACAAATCGCCGGCTAAAATATACCTTATACAAATATCCTGATTAAAATATTATGTGAAAAAGCTCAAATTCTGGAATAAACAACTAAGTTGTAAAAAAACACATAGTATATATAATGACGATGTCAAAATAGTGACCGACTGTTTACTGATCACGTGCCATTGTTTCGCACATACCCGCAACGCGCCTTTGCCAGGAAAGGAGGTCAATTCACACCTAATACAATGACCATTTCCAGACCGGGGATAGAGGGACTGTGATTTGAGTGAGCTATTTTATATTTAAACATTTGCTGTACACTGATAGAAATGTTATTTCTAAAGATGCAATAAAACATAACAAATCACTGAAAATGACACAGTTCCCATTACATTTTTGAAAGTTCTCTTTGTGCTCGTCATATTAAAGCGGTAGGGTTGTTGCGAGCGTGTCCTTGAAACTTGAATTCCAAGTTAATTACAAGTTTATTTACATCAAAACACATGTTCTGTGTAGTAGTAATATGGCCAAAAATAAAAACAGCAGTTATTCAGCCATCTTTGATCTGAAAAAAAATGGACAAACGGATAGACTCAGGAACTCACGAACGGTCGGGACATGTATCCTAACATGTATAATCTATGTACTAAGTTTGAATGAAAACTGACAAAGCATGTCCAAAATACAACATTTAAAAATAAAAACAAGATGGATGCCAGTCGGCCATTTTGAATCGAATCGCTAAACCACTGCATGTGCATATGTCCCACATAAAGTACTAGGCACATGCAAAGAATGAACGGGATCGGTCCAAGGGATTCTGAGATATGACACTGGACGGACGCACAGACGCACGGACAGACGGAGACCGAATTATAAGTCCCCTTTTTCGGACTTCGTGCGATCGGGGACTAATAATTATTATTATTATTAAAACTCTGACTAATGTCAAAGATACTAAATTGGTAACTGGACTTTCACTATAATCATATTCACTCTTAAAACACATGCACTTGTATGATACAAGCGTGTCATTTGCAAAGTCAAAATAAATCATATCCTAATGAATAATATTATAGTAAATGCAATTTTTGTTACATGTGCACTTATGACGTGTGTGTTTATAGTGATAAGCTTATTGTACAATATTTTGAAAAAGATTTGTACTTTGTTACTTGATTGTAAAAGAGCAAGTTTCTAGACTGTAAAGAAACAAGTTACAAAAAACAGACATGGCTACAATATTCTATTACTGTAAAATATATTATTTTAGCTGGGATTAATTTTGCTGAAAAGACTTTTTTGGGTGTTTTGTAATGGAATTTATTTTCACTGATTTTTGACATGTCAAATGTAAAATACACATGTATAGGAAAAAAGGTATATTTACTGGATTTTATTTTCACTCAATCATTCCTTCAGCGAAAATAGCAAAAATTAATTCCAAGCGAAAATAAAGTATTTTACAGTATGAGCCTAATTGCATGTAATCCGGCATGAACTCATCTACAGTTCCAATATTCCAATATACGATATTAAATCAACATTATGACAATTTTATATAAAATGGTGTGAACACACTTGAAACATAATGAAATTTAAAACCATGATGAATTATCTTTGTGACACATATTCCAATTGACA